GTACTTTGGCCACCTAATGAGAAGGAAGGACTCACTGGAGAAGAGCCTAATGCTGGGAAAGATGGAGGGCAATAGAAGAAGGGGACGACAGAGAATGAGGTGGCTGGATGGAGTCACTGAAGCAGTAGGCGTGAGCTTAAATGGACTCCAGAAGATGGTAGAGGACAGGAAGGCCTGGAGGAACATTGTCCATGGGGTCGCGATGGGTCAGACACGACTTTGCCACTAACAACAATAACAACATATAGAAGACAGATCAATAGATTTAGTAGTTTAAAAATTTTCAGAGGGCCTGTTTTGCAAGGGGTAAGAAGTAATATCATAGTAATGTATTAATCAGTATTCAACTAGCGATAATGTGTGTATATGTGTTGGGGTGGGTTGATGCGTCTTTTTTCTTTTTTTAATGTTTTTATTGTTTTGTCTTTTTTTCTCTTTCTTTTTTTGTCTTCTTTGGAATTTTTTTTTTTTTTTGAGGTTTGCGTTTTGTATTTTAACCTTGTCTTGAGCAACATAGAGAGAGAAGCCTATGTTATAACTGAAAATTTCAAAAACATTTAAAAACAATAAAAACAGTAGAAAGCATTGAAACAAGTAATTCAAGGCGCACAGGAGCCGGATATTTGGCTCGTTAACAATATACCCAAGAAATGGGGCTGTCGGTGCATTCAGCGCCTCAGGCTCAGGAACATACTATAGCAGTGGTGGCGAACCTATGGCACGTGTGCCAGAGGCGGCACTCGGAGCCCTCTCTGTGGCCACACACACCGTTGCCCCAGCCTCACCTCCTCCCATGGCCCCCTCACCAGCAGCCCTCTGGAGGAGAGTTGCCCCTGGGCACGGCCCATGCAATGCTGCGCAGCCAAGGACATGGTAGCCAGGCAGCAGGGACAAGACTCCGCCCTTGCACCCCATCGCACACAGATGATGCTGCAGGGCACGGGCAGAGGGCGTGGCCACCATGGTGCTGCTGGGCTGCCTGGGTGATCTGTGGCGGGCCGTGGAGGTGGTGGGTGGTCCAGCGGGCACGGCAGAATGGGCACAGGGTTGGGAGGGGGGGTTTGGGGCACTCGGTCTCTAAAAGGTTCGCCATCACTGTACTATAGTCAGGGTTTTAGGGCCTTAGTAAAGGCTAACAGGGTGAGGACCGTTCTAATCTCCAAAGGGAGAATGTTCCATAGAGCAGAGGACACTGGTGAAAAGCTCACCCTCTAGTCCAGACATGTCAAACACAAGGCCTGGGGGCCGGATGCGGCCCGCAAAGTGGTTTCATGTGGCCCGCGAAGCCATCCTGGAAACAGTGAGGGAGCGGCCCCCGCTGCCGTGGCCCTGGCCCAGGCCAGCCGGGAGCCAATGTACAATTTTGTGGTGGCCATCTATGCTGAAACGCATTCAGTCTTAGCTCCATAAGCCCTCCCACCCCCCGCATGGCCTGAGAGGAACAGTGAGGCTCCTCCAGTGGACCATGCCTTGGCACCTGCCCTGGTCCCACCCCCTTCTGCCAGAGACCCTCAGATCTGTCCCACTCCTGCCCAGGCCCCCACAGGCACCCTTGACGCGAACGATGTAGAGCTGGCCACGCCCACCCAGTAGGCCACACCCACTCCACCCACGCCCACCCAGTAGGCCGCACCCACCCTGGCCACACCCACCCGGCCCCCTGAGGGCAACCGCAATGCTGATGCGGCCCTCAGTGAAATTGAGTTTGACACCCCCTGCTCTAGTAGTTAAAAAGGTTGTAATCTCCCCTCGGCCACAGAAGCTCCTTGGATGTCCTTGGGCCTTTTGCCTTCTCTCTCAGCCCAGCCTACCTTGCAGGATTATTGTGTGAAAAAAGGGGACCTTGACCAAGAAAAAGGAGCAAATAAATCTAACAGATAAAATAAATCATTGCATAGGAGTCTCCCTTTCCTTTATTTCCTCTCCATTCCAAAGGAGACAGAAGCAGAGAAGGGAGGTCCTGCCTTTTCCATATATGTGGACATGATCCACCAACTTTTCACCATCGTATTACCCATTGCAACCTTCATTGCTCCTTAGCCAATGAAAGCCTGAACATTTCTGCTCTGGAAGTGCAGATTTCCAGCTACTCAAGATGGACAGTGATTAATATTTATATGTTACTTATAAGTAAGGGTATAGGTCTCTCTCTCTCATTCTCTCTCTCTCTCTATGTGTGTGTGTGTGTGTGTGTGTGTGTGTATGTATATATATAGTGTGTGTGTGTGTGTGTTTATGATGCACCCGATCAGCCCAAATATGGGAAGAAGAAAGAAATTTCTTCTTCCCTTATTTCGGCCGACCGGGTGCGTCATAAACACACACACACACACGGTCTCTTCCCTTCCTGACACAGCTGACAAAGTGAGAAAGAGCCTGTGGCTTAAAAGGTCAACACAGCTGCCTAAAGTGCAAGCAGCCCAGGTTCCAATCTCCGAAGGGTGTATATATGTATATATGTTGTATATAGTATGTTTAAAAGTGTGTTATGTAAGTGTACACTTTGAGAGCAAGCAACTAAATTTCATTTTTAATGTGTGCCATTGTGCCCACAGTAAAAAATTATAATAAAGATTGTCTGTCTGTCTCTCTGTCTGTCTGTCTGTCTGTCTGTCTATCTATTCCTTATTATAGATAGTCCTCAATTTATGACCAGTCATTTAGCAACTGTTTGAAATTATTATTAAGCTCTCAAGGGCTACAGATTTGAAGTTACCACAGATGTTCCCCCTGCCCACCCCTCCCCCAGAGGTCTTGTGATCACATTTGAGGTGCTCAGCAACTGGCCTGTATTTGTGTATGTTTGCAGCATTCTGAGGTCACATGACTATCATTTACAACATTTTTGCTGGGAACATGTTTGCTTCTAATTTCTGACAAAAAACACTCATTGGGGAAAATTGATTCACCTTATGACCACGTTTGCTTTATGACCACTGCATTCGCTTAATGAGCGCTGTAAAAATTTTTTGTAAGATCAAGTCGGTCATTTGATGCCTCGGCTTATGACCGTCATGACTTACATTCCAGTCTTTGTTACGGTCATAAATCAAGGACTAGCTGTATTCCCCATGCACATTTGTGTTTAATTAACTGTGGGCAGTGTTTGTTAGATCATGATCTTTTTCCCCCCTTAGTATATGAGACAACCCTAAAGACAGATGATTGTAAGTTGCTGTCGGCACCCTCTCAACATGGGAAACGCCCGTGCCCGCCTGACTGGATTGGACACCAGATGAAATGTTTCTACTTCTCAGATGAAGAAAAAAACTGGACTGCTAGTCAAGAATTTTGCTCTTTGCACAATGCCTCTCTGGCCATTATTGAAAAGGAAGAACGGGTAAGAGGTGAAAATATCCTGCTATATTGTGGATGGTACCAATTTCATGTAGGGTCCACATACATCAGTTCTGCTTGCAGGGAATTGATTTTATAACAATATGATGATTTCATTTTGTGCTGATCTGTAACCGTAATGAAGAGTGAAAAAAAAAGTTTGAATTGATTTTCATTAAGGAAGACCATCTGTTGCTTTCTAATGTACAGCCAGTAGCCTATGTCAGGGGTAGGCAACTTTGGCTCTTTTATGACTCGTGGACTTCAACTCCCAGAATTCCTGAGCCAGCCATGCTGAGGGGAAAGGGAGAGGTTTCCAAGCCGAGCCATGCTGGCTCAGGAATTCTGGGAGTTGAAGTCCACGAGTCATAAAAAAGCCAATATTGCCTACCCCTGGCCTATATCTACTACAGGTAGACCTTGTATAATGATTGCCCTGTTTAGGGACCATTCAAAGTTACTTTTTTTCCAGATTTCATCTTTCCAGCTTTTTTCTTCTTTAGCTTCTTCACTTCTTTTTGTTCTGTGTTCTGGAACTGAGTCCAAGTAAACACACCAGCCTTTCCTTTTTGAAATAGCTGTGCCCCTTTTAAAGGGAACAGCTCCCTTTTCTCCTGGGTGGGACCCTTTTTAACTCTTCAGGGAAAAGTAAGGGATAGGAAACAGCACCGTTGTTTTGCCTTCATGCATCATTGAAATCATTGATATTAGGGCTGGTTAGCACTCTGATTTGACTCTAAAAGGGGGTTTTCAGGTCTATTGGGTATCAAAATAGCAGCTCTCTGCAACTATTTACAATAGCTGCATCTTTTCCTGAGATTCTGGGGCAGGAGCTGGCTTAAGGAGCTGAAGATATACTGAATTTATATTCTGATGTGCTTTGGGGAAAATGGAGGCAGACAATCTTTGTATCCTTATATGAACTCCTATGTAATATATAATTTACTGGTATAATCAAACAATGTTATAGAATTATTGGCCGATTCTAAATATGTGTGATTTGATTATTGAGGAAATAGGTAAAAGGTTAAAACATGTACACTGGAGGGGGGGGGTCTATAACTATTTCGGAGTGGTTTAATGTTTACCATTTATTCGCTCAAAAGGATTTTGTGCAGCGTTACAAAGGCAGCACTCCCCACTGGATTGGCTTCAAACGAGACCCAGATCAAGACTGGAAATGGATCAATGGAAATGCTTCAACGTGAGTCATCCTTTCTCTCTTATGTCTTCACTTGAGGAGTAGTGAGATGGGCGGCATATAAATTTCATTAATTAATGAAATTAACTCTATAACAGCCGAATGCTGAAAAAGAAGTGGCATGGGGTTTATGGATTATCCAGTGCAGTCCTGTTTCTTGCATCAAGCACAAATGCACTACGTATTTTCATAAATGCCAACTTTGTGTCTAAAACTAGAGAACTTAAAGAGTGGAAGCAAGCCAATGTGATGTACTGGTTAAGTTGCTAGACTTGAGAAACCCAGGTTAGGTCCCCTCTCAGCCATAAAAGGTGCCTGGGGATTATGGGTCGGTCCTTTTTTCTCAGCCCTCCCAGAGCCAGTATGGTCTGGTAGTGATGGTTTCACACTAAGAGAGTGGAGACCCAGGTTCAAATCCCCTTTGAGCCACAGAAGTCCCCTTGCTGACTTTAGGCCAGATCCTCTCAGCCTTACCTACCTCACATGTCAGAGAGGCACTTGTGAGAGCCAGTTTGGCATAGCAGTTAAGGCAGCAGGCTAAAAACTGGGAACTGTGAGTTCTAGTTATGCCTTGGGCACAAAGCCAGCTGGGTGATCTTGGGCCAGTCACTTTCTCGCATCCCTATGAAGGAAGAATGGCAAACCACTTCTGAAAAACTTTGCTAAGAGTTGTCCAGACCATCTCTGAGAATTGGACATAAGGAAAAATAAATGTGTGAGTTCCTAAACAAACAGCTGGGATTTGAGTCTAACAAATAAATATATAAAGAAAAATATAATGCCCCAATATAGCTGCTCTCTGAATTAACTTGGAGTCCTGGATCAGAATTTGTGCTCAGGAAAAGAATAGACACATCGCTAATCACACGTGATTGAAACCAGCCAGATATAGAAAATTTAGGGCCTCCAAATGGATTTCAGTTCCCATCAGCTCTGAGCACAGAGGATGAGTGAGTTAGTTGCTGGGAAACTGAAGTCGCTGGGAAAGTTCAAAGTTGCTGGGAAACACCAGACTGGCTATAGCCAAATAGACCATTCATATACAAATCCACGACTATCTTCCTATCACCCACTAAATTTGCTTCTCCCTATTGGTGAATTAGTTTGAGATTTGCTCATCCTTGACTCAGCAGAAAGCGATACTGGAATGAAATTTGGGACCTCCATTGTTACCTCTCCACTCCAAGTCACTTTGGCTGCCTGACTTTCTTTCAAGAGAGTGGGTGATGAAATAATAATAATAATATAATAGTAGTAGTAGTAGTAGTAGTAGTAGTAGTAGTAGTAGTAGTAGTAATATGACAAATGCATACAAAGTCAAAATTGAGAAGACAGCAACAGATAGTAAGTGCTGCCTATGCAAAGAAGCTGAAGAAACAGTGGACCACCTGGTAAGCTGCTGCAAGAAGATCGCACAAACTGACTACAAGCAGCGGCATGACAAAGTAGCAACAATGGTGCATTGGAAGATCTGCAAGAAATATCATTTGCCTGTAAGTAAGAACTGGTGGGATCATAAAATAGAGAAAGTCATAGAAAATGATAAAGTTAAACTGCTCTGGGACTTCAGAATTCAAACAGACAAGCACCTGCAACATAACACCCCGGACTTAACAATTGTCGATAAGAAAGACAAAAAAGTCTGGCTAGTGGACGTGACAGTGCCTGGAGACAGCAGAATAGACGAGAAAGAACTGGAGAAGATAACAAAATACAAAGACCTGCAAATAGAAATAGAAAGACTGTGGCAAAAGCAAGCAAGGGTAGTACCAATAGTAATAGGCGTCTTGGGTGCAATCCCAAAACAACTGAAGCACCACTTGAACACCATTGGCATTGACAAATTCGCCATTAGTCAATTGCAAAAGGTGGCCTTACTAGGAACTGCTTCCATCCTGCGACGATATCTGTAATACCATCAAACATCCATATCTGCCTGTCCCAGGTCCTTGGGAAGGACTCGATAGGTAGACAAAAATGCCAAATCCAGTCTGAACATATGGCTGACTGTGTGATGATCCTCAATAATAATAATAATAACAACAACAACAATAGAGTTGGAAGGGACCTTGTGGGTCATCTAGTCCAACCCCCTGCTCAGGCAGAAAACCCTATACCATTTCAGACAAATGGCTGTCCAGTCTCTTCTCAAAAAGTAAAAAGTAGATTTACATACCTTGTGATTGCCCTTGGAGGTTGTTGGAATAAAGAAGCAAATTTGAACACCAAATTAAATTAGCTAAGGGTGACCTAAACCTCTCTTACTCACAGGAAAATAGTGCTATGGGGACATGGCAGAAAAGAGATGTTACTAGGGCAAGATGATGACATGGTTAGATGCGGTGGGGACACAGCTCTTCACCCTTGTTGCCCTTGTGTTGCAGGTTGACAGTCCTCGGTAATGGAGGGAACTGTGCCTTTCTGAATGACGAAGGCAAAGCAAGCAGTTCCATGTGCCGTACAGTCCATCACTGGATATGCAGCAAACCTGATGAATTCACAAGTCCAAAGATAGCTTGAAGGCATATGGTTTCCAATGTACTCAGCTGGAATTATCTTGAATTATTGACTGTAGTAACAAATGAGCCTTATACATAGAGAAGGATAAGTTATTTCTGCCTTTGCACACTGTAATCCTAGCACAATGATGGCGAACCTTTTAGAGACCGAGTGCCCAAAAACCGCCCCGCTCCGCCCACCCACAGGGCCACTCATCACAGTTCGCCCAGGCAGCCTTGCAACGCCATGGCGGCCATGCCCTCCGCCAGCAGCCTGCAGCATCATCTGCACGTGATGGGGCACGAGGGACGAATCTTGCCCCTGCTGCCCAGCTGTCTTGTGCTTGGCTGCGCTGCTCTGCATGGGCCACACCTAGGGGAGACTCTCCTCCGGGCAGGCTGCTGGTGAGGGGGTTGAAGGAGGAGGTGGGGCTGGGGCAATGGCATGCATGCCCACAGAGAGGACTCCGAGTGCCACCTCTGGCACGCGTGCCATAGGTTCGCCACCACAGTCCTAGCATATCTACTAGATCAGTGATGGCGAACCTTTTAGAGACCGAGTGCCCAAAAACTGGCCCTGATCCCGCTCCACCCCCCTGCTCCGCCCCCACTCTGCCCCCATCCCCCGCCCCACCTGCCCACAGGACAACTCACCGCCTCCAGGGCAGATCGCCTAGGCAGCCCAGCAGCGCTATGGCGGCCACACCCTCTGCCCGCGCCCTGCAGCATCAACTGCATGATGGGCTGTGAGGGCAGAGTCT